AATATATATATATATATATATATATATATATATATATATATATATATAATTTTTTCCCCCCAAGTCATCTTCTTACTCCACCCCCTGCCAGGCTGGCTATTGTTTGAGACTCCAGATGGGATACCAGTTGCCATATAAGGAAAATGGCATCATGCTACATTCTTTCTAAAAATTGATTTTTTACAGTTGCCTTTTTCTTTTCCTTGCTGAACGTTGTTCTGCTTGTGTGAAAGATCTGGGCAAAAGGAAGGCAGTAGGCTACAGCGTGCATGTTATACAGTCCTCGTCTGTGCAAAAGGTTTTGCTTTGGTTCTGTTATCACAGTTTGGGTGATTAGGCAGAGCAGCAATAGCAATGAGGTTCAGCTGCTATGACAGGAGCAGAGGATGTGGCTGTGCATTTTCCTGCATTCTGAACTCAGTAATAATCCTCCTCACCTTTTGGTTTTTCTTGCTTACCAGAATGCTCAGGCAGTGGGACAGAGGCCTGGAGTGGCCTCTCTGTGTTCCTCTTCATTCACAAGCTACCATTTATTCAGTCTATGTTTCCAGTCCTGATGAAAGCACACCTGGTTTCTTCCAAGAGGATCCTGTCTTTTCTTCCCAGGGTGTTGCTTACCGGATTGTCTCTATTTCAGTACTTAAAATTTTAAGGTCTGAAAATCCGTTTCCACTAGAACTTTGATTTGTGATTGAGAGCTGGGACAAAAACAGTGCTGCTGAACTGGGGCTTCCATTCCTCCCCATTGCCTGATAATGTGGTTTATGAAATTCTGCTAATCCTCATTGCACTGTGTTAGATGAGACCATGGGACTGCAGAGACCTGGATGTCCTGCGCCCAGCTTGTGCTTTGGTCGTTCTTGCTGACGTGCTGAGTGAGGGTTGTGCACCAGTTTAGAGCACGGGTTTCCTCTGCTCAATGCCCGAGTCCACTGCTGGAGATGACCATGGTCCTGTTATCCCCAAAGGCAGCTGAAACACTTGAGCCCTCAGGAAGCAAGGCTGATGCAGCAGTGTTTTAGAGGTTGAGGTGCTTCCGCAGGCAGGAGGGGTAGGTCAGAATGCGTGCTGGCTCAGGAAAAGGACTGAAAACACCCCTGAGACTTGGGTTTTTGTTTCTTGGTACAACTGTCACTTGTTGATGAAGAGAAACTGCCTGCTTTTTGGAAATAAGTCTAAACTCCAAACAAATCCACGTAGTGGCTTGTGCAAAGGAACAGCTGGAGCAGCATGAGCATAAGCAAGACTGAATCCCCCGACTCCAGAAAGCAGAGGCAGAGTCTAGAGTGGGAAAAGCGGAGGTCTGGGAGCTGGGAACACAGCCAGCTCCTGGAGAGGAGTGAGTTCGTGCTTGTGCATGTGCACATAAGAGTTGGGTACTCTTCCTCTTCTATCCTTTTGTCTCAGTAATTGGGATACAGGCATTAGTTGTGCTCCCTGTGGTTGCCATGTTCTGACTCCCTGTGATGCCCTGTTGATTTTCCCAATAAAAATCTGTTCAGCAACTGATAATGTCACAGACTTCTCGAAAATAACAGCAGACAAAACCCCACTCCCTCTTAGAAATAGCAGCAACAAATTTTGGAGTTCATTTACAGCAATCATAATTCTCAATCTGTGTTATGTTGAGGTGTGATTACAGAAGTAGAAAAAAGAAAAAAATACTTTCTATAAACACGTTTGCGCAGATGTGATGATGATGATTATTATATGTGTATCCATTGGCAATATGCACTCTTTTCTTTCTAAAATGTTGAACAATTGGACAACTTTAAAGTAGCTGCAATTTTGTGGAAAGAGAGTAAGGACTTTTTAAAGGTTTGGTGTTTTTTATAAAAGCCTGAAAATGGAGGCCACATTGACCAAAGGAAGCAGATAACGTATTGAGAAAGTTCTAATTTTCTTTATTTTTTCTTTAGACAGTGAGTTAAATTGCTTGGAGAAGCTGTGCTCTTATATCTCTGCAAAATACTCTCCAAGGAGAGTATTCCTATATGATAATTTGTACTTATGCTAGAGATACAATTGTGAAGGCCTCATGGGCTTTACTAAGATGCTTGAGTTTGCACCAGTATGGCAGGGGAATGTCCTCACTTAGCTTTTTCTTCAAAAAAGATGATTTGGTGCCTCCCAATGCTGTCCACTGTCATATCAAGGAGATATCACTCACAGCGAGTGGTGTGGAACGATGCGGTGCCCCATGTGCTTGGTTCTCAAATTACCAATGAAGCAGCTAACCACTTCTGACATGTACATGGCTGTTGTTGGACATCTCAGTTAACATCATGCAGATAAATGGGACGCTCCTCACCCGACAGCTATTGTTTCAAGCTCTCTGCAAACTCCCAGGCCTCATGTTTTGGCTACGGTCTGCTCGCATTTATAACTGTCCTAATAACTGTCATGGCCAACGATGATATGTTTGTTGTACGCACATTTATAAGTGAAAGACGAGCGTAAAGGGTGAGCGTCAGGTCAGCGATGCATCCAGAGGGCAGGCATGTTGCCAGCGCCGTTTTGGTCTTGCTCCAAGAGTGCCTGGCAGTGGCCAGTAATCACCTTGGATTCCTGGAGTTGAGGAGCCCCCCTTGGGATCTCG